AAGTATTAGCAGTAATCGAGAAGATTAGGGAGCGAAGATATGATTCGAGAAGTATAATTCAGTAAGATAAATTTAGAAGGAGAAAGATAGAGATTACGAGGAATGCAGAAGCTTAGAATTTCATAGAACACAAAGAGCGGATCCACCTGTGCCATTGCAAACGATTCTGAGACATGTCATTCAAGGTCTCTAACCATCGGTTACTATCGTCTCACGGACCCCAACCAGGTAGTCTACATCTACCAACATGATTCAGTGTTCAACTAACCAAATCACTGAGTATCATTGAAAAACTTACGTTCTACTCGAACTTGATCTCTTTCAATAATTTGACCGATGGGATTCAATGCAGTACATTGAAATACACCAGTATGTCTGCCTAAAGCATCAAATCGTGGTGAACCAATAGTTGTCCAATAATGTCGTCCAGAATGTATAATTAAGCCTTGCATTGATAACCAATGTGAACTTAACGAATTGCGAGTCCCGTTGAATCGATCAATAGACCACTGTAAGCCGCCTTCCGGTGGAGGATGACCATAGAATGTACAAATTAACTAAAAATGAATCGAAAAAATGTGTTGACAATGTTTTCACAAATGGTGAAGTTTTTATGTTTCATGTTCACGAGAATCACTGTGTATTCAGTGATTACAACAGTCGCAATTAAATTAGAGTTTGATAAACAAAATGTAATTCAACTCAGCTTATCATATCATATCAATAAAGACAGGATGAAGTTACCATAATAACTACCGAATGTGCCAGTAAATCAGTGGGAGCGTGCTCATAGACAACGAGGAAGCAACTGTCCCGTTTAGTCGGACGGCGCATAAGTGACTGTCTATTGGGGTTGAGTCTAAGAGAGCTAGCTGTGCCCTAAAACTCAATGCTATACATACACCAGCGAGGCCACGGGAAGCGGCGGTTGGGCTTCCAAATAAACGGAGCTTAAACCAAGTTGGTTCTTTATCTTGATAGGGCAAAGTCGAATGAATGATTCCAGTTGGATCCTGAAAGTGAGTTTCGGAGAAGCAGCATACATCGATGGCATGAGATTTTAACCAAGGCAGCTTGTTGTCCTATTTAGCACAAGGTTCAAACATTAAAAGATCTGACATGTAGTTTAGGATGGGGTTTCAGGAGACCAGAAATTTGGTTTCATGTAATCGGTACTTTCGCATCAGTGGCGCGAGGTGGTAAGGGAATGAGAGAAGAGTTCATCATGAATATATGAGAGTTATTAGGAGACGTAGGAAGGATTTGATTTTTAATGATTTGGCCTAGTGTGCTGTTGCGCGTATGAAGATGGATGCCACTTACAGGTAGCCCACATCGTGGAAGGGTATTTCTTGAGGCATCTGAGAAGGAGATCAGATTAGCGTTGGTCTTAACGACCTGGGAGCGTGACAAGAGAGCCCGAGAGACAACGGCTTGATGCCGGTCACGCGCGACTTTTTTAAGGTGTTAGCTTCGCGCCCTACAAGAGTCACTACCTTCGGAGACCGAAATCTCTATGGCAACGTGAAATGTGACATTTTTACGCCCGACCTTTTCTAGCCGCTCCCCTCCGTTTTGAAAAGACAGTACCTCTACGGATGCTGTTTCTTGAATGAAATACCTCAGTGCCATCACATTCAGAAGTATGACTTCACCTTCAGACCTTAAGTTGCCGCTTTTAGACTTACTGTTTTCAAGTCGACCTACATGGCATGAAAGGACCTAAAGGAATATATTTTAAAGCTAATGTAGCTCGGTTCAGTCATTACGATAAGCAAGCCCGACGATTACCTCAAGCTAGCCGCCAAAGATAAAAGCTGAATGCGCCTGAATCACTGACTTAATCAGGTCGTTTAATGGGTCGGTTCAAAAGTCACGAAACTGATTGATGGAACGCATGTGTCGATTTGATCCCCACAGCTTTCTTCTAATCTAAAGTTACTCTGAGTAACTAAGCTCATCGAATCAGGCAGTGGTTAAGTATACTTGACACTGATTTCAGAGGCCGTAATCTATGATGATTCCCAAATGAATTTATCGAAGTTACCTATAGTGACACAATGAGAATTTCTAGTTAGTATAATCTTTCCTTCACTAGAATTGAATTTGAATATTCATTGCTTCCGTATTGACAAGCCGCATTGCTCTTTCTCCACTGTCTTCGATGAGCACTGCTTAACGCCTGAACAGGGTCGGACTCCGCTGGAGCTGAGACGAACTTCCTAGTCACTCGTAAGCACATGTCATTTGTATGATAGGGTTATGGAGATTGCGAGTTGCAGGAGTCGTGGATGCGAACTGCCACTGATGAGTCCCATGCCAGGACGAAACGGCCATCTTTCAATACCTCCAGGTTTCTTTCTCATGGTAGTTTAATATCGATCGACTTGTGATTTCAACAAGTAACTCAACAATCACCACAATCCCATAATAAATTTACTCCTTTAATTGCTATTATAATGCGAAATTCTCCGATGCAACACAACATGCACTAACCAAATCACTCTTGATGGAGATGACTTGGAGGACGTTAACACCTTTACATATCTTGGCCGCATCATCGATGACAACCAAGGTGGATCCGAAGCAGATGGGAGGGCGCGGATTGACAAAGCAAGGGCTGCATTTCTACAATTGAGAAATATCTGCAACTCCAAACAACTTTCAATCAAAACCAAAATTAGGATTTTCAATACAAATGTCAAGATAGTTGTACTGTATGGAGCGGAAACTTGGACAACTACCAAAGCCATCATCCACAAGATACAAGTATATATGAACAGTTGTCTACGCAAAATACTTCGGATTCGTTGGCCAGACACCATCAGAATCAACGTACTGTGGGAGAAAACAAACGAGATTCCTTCAGTGGAGGAGGAAATCAGGAAGAAGCAGTGGAAGTGGATAGGACATACACCACGAAAATCACCTAACTGTGTCACAAGACAAGCCCTCACATGGAACCCTCAAGGCAAAAGGAAAAGAGGCAGGCCAAGGAACACATTACACTGACAAATAGAGAAGGATACGAGAGGAATGAACATAAATTGGACAGAACTGGAGAGGGAAGCCCAGGACAGAGTTGGTTGGCGAAAACTGGTGGGCGGCCTATGCTCCATTGGTGGTAACAGGCGTAAGTAAGTAAGTAAGTAAGTAAGCAATTACTATTATAATGATAGACATGATTATCTTATTGTAACTAACATTCAACTTACTTCAAATGGTTGGCCTTGAATCACACGAACATATCGATCACCAGAATCTTGGAATATTTCATTAACATTTGATAATATTTTCACTTCAGGAGTGATTGGTGTTTCATAATCTAAGATTGACAACAAAAAATAGAGAATCTAGATGTGTATTGATGTAATCATAACTATAATCTGTCATGAATACCTTGAATAGATTTGCGCGCCAAAAAAAACGAAAATGTTAGTTACATCATAACCGAACTTCACACTGTTTCACTCAGAGTGTAGATTGTTGCTGATGGTGTCTGGCTAAACGAGTATGAGGAGTATCCTGTGTAAATGCCTGTTTCGTTTGGATGATGGCTTTCGTAGTTCTCCAAAGTTTCCGCTCCATATAGTAAAATTGTCTTGATATTTTTAATGAAAATTGTGATTTCGGTGTTGGTTGATAGATATTTGTTATGAGTTATGGAGATCATTGTTTTTACGTATTGGGATCATGATCGTTGGAAACCTGAAAGCAGTGGACACGGCCGTTTCGTCCTAGTATAGGAATACTTATCAGCAGTGAGCATGTACGACTCCGGCTACCTTTCTGGTATCGTACCGGTGAACACCTAACCTCTGAACCTTTGAGCCGTCCGCTGCTTACAGGTTTCTAATGGTGGTCTTGTAGTGAACGAGAACACAGGTGGGGCAACCAGACTGTATTTAACGAAAATTACAGAGTTACTCAGTAAAATAGGAAAACCATATCGTAAATCGTTAATTTGCAAAATATCAGTTCATCATATCGAACTGGACTGTTGTTCCTGTTGCAAAACATCAATCCATTGTCACTATTCATGCGTTTCATACAAATTCCATTGTGTTCTAACTCTTCTTCCTTTCTTGATCTTCCCCCATCTTCTGCTGCCAGACATTACGTTGACACTCACGTCATATACTACTTATAAGCAGCTCACACCACAAAATGTGTAAAATTCAAGCTATTGTAGTCTCTTTCAAAAAGTCATAAACAGAATTACTGTTTTTTTTAGTCTTTTTAAAATCTGAATACATTTGTCCTAGTTCGTCTGTTCCTCAGTCTGGACAACCAGGAATTGACATGTGCCGTCATTCACTTAACAACAGTTTGAATTGATGTACTTACGAAGTTCTACGTTGTACCTGACTGACTGATTAACTGATTGACTGTTCTAGTTTATCAATAATATTTTACAATAAATTTTACTCTGTTCTATAAATTAATTTCTTACAATATTCTAGATTATTTAAGAAGTCTCGTGTCGATAATTCTTGTTGGGGTCGTTAGATCCCCAGAATTCACTTGAAAAAGGTCTTAATTTTGTAATTTATGTTTTCACGCCAAGAGACGCTTAGTTGACCTACAGCTTACATTTCCCACTCGGAAAATCTTTGACTGTCATTGGTTGACGAATTATTTTAGTACGCTATTTTGTGGCACTCACCAAGGGTGCTTTATCATTTCATAAATGAGCTTGAGATGTGTGCTTGTTGACCTCGTATTTTCTGGGTGCCTGTAGAATACATTCTCTAAGCCTTATTCAAGATTTCTTCCTTTGGGTTAGCGGGGCCTGGGATAATCGGATTAGAATAGCTTATCATTGTCACTGCATCATTTGTCTGCGCTTGTAATAACCTTCAAGCATATCATGTAGTGCCTCCACATATATTCGAGTTCGCTTACATCTCTAATCTGGTTAAGCCCTTTCGGTTAATTTACTTAACCAAGCCATTTCTATTGTAACAATTTATATGTACCATTCGTTCTTATTATTGTCGGGTTTGTATGAGCTCACATGACATGTTCCACTTGTCATTTGACCTTGTCAGTCATTCTCCGCTTTTATTCATGTGTGTGCATGCCTAGTTCGCTTGTCATATGTGTCTGTCTTATTTTTGTCTGACTATATATTCTTAGTCATACTCTATCTCTTTGAGTTGGCTATTAGCCTTCTCCAATTCTCTTCGCCCATTCGTTTTATTCACTGCTTCTCCGCTTCGCTTTGTGGTGTGTCCCGAATAAACGTATTCATCACTTTGTGTTCATCTTCTGATTTATCAACCGTCAGACGCTATTTGGCAACGTTTGTCTGAACGAGTTAATTACCGAGCTTAAGAACACGCAGTAAATCGAAACACTACAATCAATTCTCCAATGCGGAAAAAAAAGGAGACAGAATAAACAATTTTGCTTACCTGTTTTCATTAAATCATACGGTATGTAAACTTGTTTCACTGAGGATGAATATGAATTCACTGAACGACATGTATAAATACCAGCATCTAATCTTGGATCAAATTTATTTATACCATTATGTGTCCATTTTAATATAGCTTTATTAGGAGTTGCAGATATTGGTTCCTAAATTATTCATTAAAACAAAATAAGCTTATCAAGAAAATGTTCTTGTGTACTACACATTGATGCATGAACCATTATTATGCCTAGTATATAACTGTTAGAATATTCATAGGTCGATTCCTATTGGTCAATTCCTACTGGCCAATACCGTGGTCGTCCTAGATATCAATGTCACGTACTTCAATGTTGTTTTCCATTGGTCGTCCTGACTATCAATGTCACTTGAAATGTTACTTCCTATTGGTCGTCTTAACTGTCAATGTCACAGACTTTGATGATGTTTCCTATTCGACCTAACTATATAAATACGCCCTATCGGTAACGTTTTATGACCCCGACCTGGACCCGGATCCCTAGTCCATGATCCTGATTCTCTTCTGGACTCGAACCTCGTACTTTATGGATGCTTGTAGAATACATGTTTGTTGGGGATGTTATATCCCCGAAATTCGCTTGATAAATGCCCTAATTTTGGATTTCACATTTGCGAGCATGGGCTGATCAGTTTACCTTGAGATCACACATTTCCTACCACGGAAATCCATGGCTGTGATTGGATGCTATGTATTCTAGCGTGCTATTTTCGTAACCTATCCCAAGGACGTTTCTATAATGTATAAATAAACGAGAGTTGTATGCTTGATTGTATTGTGATTGCTGGCTGTTTGTAGAATATACTTTCTACGCTTACAAAGCCTTTTATCTTCAGCTTGGGATTCAAGCTAGCCTACCTGGACGCTGGTTCATTGTCTCGTTCGCGTTTTATCGACTAAGATGAACTCGTAATAGCTTCAAGCGTACCTAGTGACGAATCCTACAATGTTCTACTTCATATTAAGTCTTCTTCTTTTATTCAATGGGGGTTAGGATAACCGGATTTGAGTAGCATGTCGTGTCGCCAGATCCTCGATCCTCGCTCTTAGGTAAACTCATAATAGTTTCTCGCATACTTGATGACGAACCTAACAATAACTCAGACTAAAAGTTGACGAATATTAAACTTTTGTGGCTTGAAAAGAGTCAAACAAAGTCTATATTCAATTCTGTTGATCACAATTGGTTGATTGTGATCATGTGGTAAATGAAACTATAGCATTTATAGGGAGATTTATTCAATTTTCCAGTTGAGGATACGTGTTTCATCCTAGTTAGGACTAGTTTTTAGCTGGATATACTTCCATCTCAGAGTTGATGTTCACTCCGGGACTCGAACTTAGTGATTTACTTATGCCTGTGGCTTATGCTCCATTGGTTGTTGACATGCATAAGTAGGTAAAGTAAGCATGCACCCGTTTCGTCCTGGTATGGGACTCATCACATCAGCAGTGCGCATCCATGACTCCTGCACTTCGCAAGATTCGAACACAGGACCTTCTGTGTTTAGCGTGAACGCCTAACCTCTGGACCACTGGGCCGGTATCCAACGGTGTTAATGTCTAACTCTGATTGATCTAGAGATTTTGCGCGACCTCACCCATTTGTCTTTGGTAGTTACTGCCTACACCCGACAGGGTTGAACTCCATTGGTCACGTCTTCTCAACTAGAACTCCGAGAATTTCCTCACGAAGCTAGTTATTAGTGAGCACATCTTACGATATTTTCAATTAAACTTATGGAGATTAGTGTTTTTACACATTTGAAATCATCAATCAATCAATCATTGTTAGACCATCATTAGAAATCTGTAAGAAGCAGTGGACGGCCGTTTGGTCCTGGTATGTGGGACTCTTTAGCAGTGCGCATATGTTATGTGTCAGTTAATGAAAAATCAATTTGGAAGATTGTTTTTATCCGCCTTCCGTGGAATTTGTACGAAAAACTTTAAAAGGAATTAAAATTCACTCACTCATTCTCTTAACATTAAATAGTATATATTTCATCAATCACTACTTACTGGATAGTTGGTGTCATCTTGACGTGTCCAAGTTACCTGTGATTCATAATTTTGATTGTCATCAATACAATCTACTTGATTTGGATAAGGTGAATTGGGATCAGTATGACTAACAAGTCGAAGTTTAGGCATTTGTTCCACTATTGAAAAAAAAAATCAGAAAAAGAGTTAGTTGAGTCAGGGATGAAAGATTAACTGAAATCAGGAATGAATCAATGTTAGACTACTAGTGAAAACTTGAAGGCATTGGACAGCCAACTCATCCTAGTGTGGGACTCACTAGTAGTGCGCATCCACGACCCTAAAAAGGAGAGAATCGAACACAAGACCCTCGGTCTCGCGCCTGAACGCTTAACCTCTAGACCAATAAAATTATTTGACTGAACCACCTGGAAAATTCTTGACTGTCATTGGTTGATGCGTTGTTTTAGTACGCTATTTTTGTGGCTCTCCCAAGGACGTTCCTATCATGTATAAGTAAACTCAATTTGTGTGCTTGTGAACCTCAAATTTCCAGGGTGCTTGTGGAATACACTCTCTACGTCTTATCAAAACTTCGTCCCCTACTTAGTGTGGCCTTGGGACACCCGGATTAGAATAGCCTATCATGTAACTGGATCATTTGTCTTCTCTCTCGTTTACCGACCAATGTGAACTCGTAATAGCATTCAAGCATATCAATTGACAAGCATAAACATTTTTTTAGCTAATACCAGTCCTAACGGACTACCTATCATGGATTTGATCATATTTAAGTAAAAAATAATCAGAACTTAACGCATAACTTACAAGTATCACCAGGTAGAACTTCTAATTTCACATAATCCGAATAATCATAAGCACCAGTTTTCAAATCCACACCTTTACAACGAAATCTAGCTATCCAATTAGGTTGTCTACGTAGACCAGCTATCACCATTGTATCATATAAAGCTTTAGCGCCTAACATTGGAAGATCTTTTGGTGATGGTTGTGGTCGAGCACGTTCATGATTATCAGATAATTCTTCTTGAATCGATGTGATTTTTGTCTCCCATCCAATATCCGCCTCTTCGACGGTCTTGTTAAGCCAAGCATCTGATAAAAAAAGTAATTTTTGATAGAAATTAATTCGATTTAATGACTCTGTTCGATAAAAATTTACAATAATGTAAGACAAATATCATACTGATATCTATCAAAGTGAGAATTTTTCACTATAAACGTCAAGATATTTCTATTGTATGGAGAGGAAACTTGGAGTGTGGTGCGCGCTACTTATAAGTAGTATATGACACGCGTGTAAACGTAATGTCTGGCAGCAGAAAATGGGGGAAGATCAACAAGAAAGGAAGAAGAGTGGGAACACAATGGAATTTGTATGAAACGCATGAATAGTGAAATGTCAGACAATGGATTGATGATGGATTGAAGATTTGCAAATTAACCATTTACGATATGGTTTTCCTATTTTACTGAGTAACTCTGTAATTTTCGTTAAATACAATTCGGTTGCCTCACCTGTGTTCTTCTTCACTACAGGAGAACCACGAATACCATCATTCACAAGTTGTCTACGCAAGATACTGAGGACCCGTTGACGAGATACCATCAGTAACAATCTATGATATGATAGAATAAACCAGATCAAAGCAGAGGAAAAAATCGGCAAGAAGCGCTGGAAGTGAATAGGACACACATTGAGGGAAGCACCTAACTGCGTCACAAAACAAACCTTCACTTAGAATCCTCAAGGTCATAGTAAAAGTGCAAAACTAAAGAACACATTACTTTGAGAACCGGAGACAGAACTGGAAAGGATGACCAAGGATAGAGTAGGTTGAGAAATTCTGATCACAAGCCTATACTACATTAAGAGTAACAGGCGTAAGTAAGTGAGAATTTTCAATATAAACGTCAAGATATTTTTATTGTATGAAGAGGAAACTTAGAGAACCACGAATGACATCATTCACAAGATAAAAATGTTTATTGAAAGATGTCTATGCAAGATACTGAGGATACGTTGAACAGATAACATCAGTAACAGCCTACTGTGGGACAGGACACACCAGAAACCAGCTGAGCAAGAAATTAGAAAAATGCAGTGGAGGTGGATATGATGCACACTAATGAAAACACTCAATAGCGCCACAAGACAAGCGTTCACTTGGAACTATCAAGGCCAAAAGAAAAGTGGGGAACCAAAGAGATGGAAACAGGTATCAGAAGAATGAACAACAATTGGAGAGAACTAGAAAAGAAGGCCATCCAGGATAGAGTAGATTAGAGAATGCTGGTCTTGTTGGCTTATAATCCATCAGGAGTAGCAGGCGTAAGTAAGTGAAGTCAGTTATACTTATATCTTTTAATTATCACTGTAGCAAAATGAACGAACTGAAAAACGCTCTTTAAAGTATATGATTTCACCGCTGTGTTATCTCTCCTTCATTAATTTAACCAAAGACTAGTTTAACTGTTGTTTCATATTATTCAATCTTCCTTGAATGGGACTTTATTATATAATTTTTGCTGTCACATGTTGTTGTGTAATGTCTTCGACACTACGGTGTGCCTGAGAAGATAGTCAACATCATACGGAACTCTTATGATGGATTCAACCGCAAAATCGTACACGAAGGACAGCTGACAGACTCTTTCGAGGTGAAGACCGGTGTCAGGCAACGTTGCTTACTCTCACCCTTTCACTTTCTCCTGATGATCGACTGGATTATGAAAACGTCAACATCTGGAGGGAAGCACGGTATCAACTGGACAGTTAGGACGCAGCTGGACGATCTGGACTTCGCAGATAACCTGACTCTTCTATCGCACACGCAACAACAAATACAAGAGAAGACGACCAGTGTAGCAGCAGCCTCTGCAGCAGTAGGTCTCAACATACATAAAGGAAAAAGCAAAATTCTCCGATGCAACACAACATGCACCAACCAAATCACTCTGAATGGACACGCCTTGGAGGACGTTAACACCTTTACATATCTGGTCAGCATCATCGACAATCAAGGTGGATCCGATGCAGATGTGAGGGCACGGATTGGCAAAGCAAGGGCTGCATTTCCACAGCTGAAAAATATTTGCAACTCCAAACAACTTTCAACCAAAACCAAAATCAGGATTTTCAATACAAATGTGAAGACAGTTCTACTGTATGGAGCGGAAACTTGGAGAATTACGAAAGCCATCATCCAGAATATACAAGTATTTATGAACAGTTGTCTTCTCAAAATACTTCGGATTCGTTGGCCAGACACTATCAGCAACAACCTACTGTGGGAGAGAACAAACCAGATCCGAGTGGAGGAGGATATCAGGAAGAAGCGCTGGAAGTGGATAGGACATACACTGAGGAAGGTGCCTGACTGCATCACAAGACAAACCCTCACTTTGAACACAATGGTCAAAGGAAAATAGGAAGGGCAAGAAACACATTACGCGGAGAAGTAGAGAAAGACATGAGGAGAATGAACAAAAGGGAAGCCGAGGACAGAGTTGGTTGGAGAAAACTGGTGTGCGGCCTATGCTCGATTGGTGGTAACAGGCGTAAGTAAGTAAGTAAGTAAGTCTACTAATATGTCGAGCCCATATAGTCAGTCTCTGCCTTTGGGAAAATTCTCCAGTTATTCACAAGTCTTTCAACCATGTCAATGATTCACTTATAATCGTGGTTTATTTTTAATTGACTGCATAGGTCAATCGCTATGTTGATCATATGTCAGACTAAAAATATTTACTCATGCCTCGCATCGTCTTGAATTCGTGCACTCGCCCTCTCCGATTTGCATTTTCTAATGCTTGTCTGCTTATGAGAATCTATGGAATAAATTTATCAACATAACACCGTTTTGTGGCTTTTAAATACCGCCATCTCACAAACAGAGTTTGCTTATGAGTAGTATAAATGAAAATTGAAGGGGAAGCTTTATTTCGTAGTAGTCGGAGTCGAATGTTGGGCCAGTAAAATCAGACTACTGGAAATCTGTGTGTTTTTTTGACTGACTTAACTTGTTCCTCTTACGCTAGTTACCATACATAGGAAACAGAGCTAAAGATGGATTGAACACATGTTGCGCAAACCACTGAACTACGTCACAAGCCAACCACTCACTTGTAATCCTCAAGGCCAGTTGAGAAGTGGAAGACCAAAGAACACGTGACTCCGAAAAAACGGTGACATGAGTGAACAGAGATTGGATAGAATTGGAAAGGCAAGCTTAGGATAGAGTTGGTTGCAGAATTCAGGTGGGTAGCCTATGCTCCACTGGGTGGTAAACAAGCGTAATTTCATAAGTAAGGCATTATTCGCTTATCACTGGGCTATTGAACACATTTCTCCAGAACGACAATAAATCGTAGGCTTTAGAAAAACAAAACCTTATTTTCTTCTTGATAAATTTTAAACTTACCTTTTACAATACATTTAATTTGAGCAGTTTGTGTTTCAACCCCAGTAATTATGCCGGGACGATCTTGTCCTTCAATGAATACGTGTACTTTCGGTTCACGTAACCATAAACTAACTTGAGGTGATGAATAGTAAGCTTGTGTTGCTTTTTGCACTTCGTCTAAACGTACAACACAGAAAATATGTAAACCTTGTGGTTGATCAGTTAATTTTGTAAAATAAATCCATTCTCCTTTAGAACCAATAGATACACTATCAGATAATTGGGCATGTTTAATATCACGTCTGATACCATTGGGATATTGAACAAACCAATCGATACGATCAATATTTGCCGGTTTTCTACTTGTATCTAATAATTTATTAAGTGAAGCGGGAAAGACAAAAAACACACATTTTTTTACGGATTTGTGGATATAAACAAATCGAAAATTATACTGAACTATGGAGAATGAAATAAATAGGTTAGTTTATAAACACATATTTACAACAGTGGAGAATTCTAAAATCAGCTGAAAGACAGGGACATTTAGAAATTTGAATAGAGAAATGAGAAGACATATTTTGTGAGATAGTAGTACCATTTCGTGCTTTCTCGTCAGTCACATACAAGCAACATGTTATTCGTGTGTAAATACAGCAGTTTTGAAGATAAGGTCAAAATTTCTTATTTAGCATGACATTCACTCACTCACTAGAATCATGGTAAACAAAGGTCAACATACAGTTGTTTTCGAACACATCAGGTTGGACTTTTCCGACCAATCAAGATAGTTTCGAGTAGTTTCAATGTGTGTGGGTTTTGATGACATGTCACAACTTTAAAGGCTGATTTTGGGTCAATTTGATGACCACTCATCATTAGATGTTTTACAATGGACGAGGCTGGGTTTCTTGATTGATCCCGAGATGACGGGCTAGGTGGATGAATCATGGATTTGATTAACCATTTTGGAATATGTTCCCTTATCCTGTCTTCTAATCGGCGATCTGTCCTCCCCAAATAACTTTCTCCGCAGTTACATGTGAATTGGTAAATACAGTGGGATTTGGACTGAATCGGTCATGGAGACTTGATTGGGGTAACTGAGATCGATTGAGTTGTTGTGATAAGCCTCAGAAATTGGCAAAAACGTCCCCATTTAAAACTTTCTCGTGTCATAATTTTAAAAAAGGGTATCATACGTGTGAATGAAGTCGATAAATCCTCCTGGACCCCGTCTAGGTTTACTGCCAGTTCTAAGGTCGGATAAAGGAGGGGAGTTGGGTATGGGATGTTAGCGACCCCATACCGTAGAAAACTAACTAACTGAAAAAACGCCAACGAGAAAAGTAATTCGCTGATTGGCAACCTATGTTTCATTACGGGTAACAGGCGTGAGGAAGTAAGTAAGTGAATAAATCAAGTCGATGTGAAAAGACATTGATGCTTGTAACAGCTTGACTGTAGATGAAATGTTTGAATCAAAAGTTAACTAGAATGAAACAGTGACTATAACTAATAAACTGATTGACTGAGGGATTTCCATTTCATTCATCTATATTTATCATGTTCACCAGAAGTTCAAACGTTCTTCGGTTCAATAATTTGCTGATTGTTAGGACGGTACTTTCCAAAACGTTCAGAAATCAAATCTTGAAGTGACTGTATAAAAATCGTCACATAAATTATTGAAATATTAATTTATTGAAACTATGAATCGATCATTATTAGACCACCATTAGAAGGAACCAAAAAGCACTGGACGGTCATTTCGTCCTGGTTTGGGACTCATCAGTGACAGTGAGCATTCACGACTCCTGCTACTCACAGGATTCGAGCCCGGGACCTTCGGTCTTTCGCACGAACGCCTAATCTCTGTATCACTGAGCTCGTGGCATCCAACGATATTATTGTTAAACTCTGACCATTCTAGGGAGTTAGCATAACCTGACACACATTTGTCTTAGGTAATCACTGCCTACATCCTACAGGTTTGATCTCCACTGTCCATGTCTTCTCACGAGAACTCTGAGAAATTCCACACGAAGCTAGTCAATATTCAGCACATTGTACATGATTCCAGTAGAATACAACAATCTCCATAAATTTATAATCAGTGTTAAAGAGCCGATAGAAACTTGGAAGCATTTGACAACTGCGAGACTAATGATCCTAGGTTCGAGTCCCACTCGCAGTGCCCATTGCTCGTGAGTATGATACCAGGACGAAATGGCCATCTGGTGCTTCCAAGTTTCTAATAGCAGCATAACATTGATTGGATCCATGATTTCAATCGAACGCAGCAATCTTCACAATGGAAATATTAATTCACTTACGTTTAACATCACAAGTTAAATTCATATCATTTCCAGTTATACCGATAAGACGATCATTGACAAATGAATCACTCAATATTTTGGCATGAAGTTTTCGTTCATCTTTAGGAATAACTAAACAAATTGAAAAAAAACGACGTACAAATAATAATAATAATAATGAATTTATTCAGTATTCAATGTTTAGTACAATATGGAATTCGTAGCGTAGAATATTTCTTGTGGAATTAGCGTGGACAAGGAAAACACTGTGGAGACTTCTTCGACACTACAACGTGTTTGAGAAGATATTCAACATCATACGGAATTCTGTGTGATGGATTAAACTGCAAAATCGTGCATGGAGGTCAGACTCTTTCGATGTGAAGACCGGTGTCAGGCAAGGTTGCTTACTCTCAACCTTTCTCTTTTTCCTGATGATCGACTGGATTATGAAGATGTCATCATCTGGAGGGAAGTTCGGTATCCAGTGGACAGCTAGGATGCAGCTGGACGATCTGCACTTGACGTGGCTCTTTTATGGCACACGAAACAACAAATGCAAGAGAAGACGACCAGTGTAGCAGCAGCCTCTGTAGCAGTAGATCTCAACATACATAAAGGGAAGAAAAATTGTCCGAAGCAACACAACATGCACCAACCAAATCACTCTTGATGGAGACGCCTGGACGTTAACACCGCCTTTACATATCTTGGCAGCATCATCGACGAGAAAGGTGGATCCGATGCAGATGTTGAGGGCACGGATTGGCAAGACAGGGCTGAATTTCTATAATTTTAAAAGCATCTGGAACTAAAAACAACTATCGACTAACACCAAAGTCACGATTTCCAATACAAATATCAAGACATTTCTACTTTGTGTGTAGGAGCACTACCAAAGCCATCACCACAAGATTCAAA